TTTGAAGAATGTCATTGAGATTTTTATTGGGATGGCATTAAATCTGTATATTGCTTTTGGCAGGATGGCCATTTTGATGGGATAACAATTCTTTTTATGCTTAGATCACCTATTATAAATGGGATAACTGCCATTTCTACAAAATGGAAACTATTTCCCATTTCCTATTTCCCTTGCTCCATTATTTATTATTGAGTTACAAATTCCAAAGAAATACTCAATGAAGTGAGGAATTCTAACCTAGAGCTGCTACTTTTTTTCTCAAGTGCCATTTACTATTGAACCCAATGGAACAATCCACGGGATCATTTTTATCTAAGCATTATAAAATGCCAGGTCTTTGTGTCAGTTTTTCTAATCAGCATCTTATTTTTTTTACAGGTAATGAATAATCCCAAAAGTTAAAAATACTAAGAAATAAAAATGAACATCTGACTTAGCTTTCAATAAGGAAATATATTAAAAACTGTTAAGTATTTAGCTATGATCAGAACTCATACAGAGAAAGGATTCCATCTTGCAAAATAATTTTCCATTATTATTTTTTTCAGGCAGTGAGGAAAACCTAAAATAAAATAAAAATGTGAGCCTGAAATTTACTTTAGGCATCAGACTGAGTGTATTGTACATTGAATAAATTAGACTGAAATCATTTAAAAATGGAAACATGGAAAAACATATGTTTAAAATCATACAGCACACTGGTTATGGCAGTGGAGTTTGAATCTGGTTTCCTCCTCCAAATTTTATCTTAGAGTATGGTTGAAGCACGTAATTGTCACTTTGTAAATCATGCAATCTCTACCTAGGTAAAATTTCTGCTTCTCCTATTTATTTTTCTCTCAATCTTGAAGAAATGCTATGTTTTAGAGAAGCAAGTGATATACAGTTGCCTTTGTATAAATAGTCCTATTTTGTCTCTAATGGGAATTATGTATGCTGAGATTCTTGATTTTAAAATTACATTTCCTTTGTTAAACCTCTCAGAAATATACTTACAAATTTAAAATACATTCTGCAATTATTTTTGCTATGCATGAACAAAATTGCTATTTTTTCATATTATATATCTAAGTAATCTATACAAGATAAAGTAATACTAGAAGTAATTCTAATTTTAGTAAGTTGATTGAGGAAAAAATCAATACATCTTCATTAGCTGCACACATTCCTTGCCATCCAACATTCATTTTAAACCAAGACTTATTGCTGAACTAAATTTTTAACAAAATGTAAAAAGGACATTCTTAAAATATCATTTCAAGATCCAGAATCCAAACTTACGTGAACACTGAAAGAACAGTTTAATAGATCTTATCCTTTAAAGAATATTCAATGGAAACATAGAAAATTATGAAACCTTAATTTTATACTTGTTTCGTATGACTGATCAATTTTTTCAGTAGCAGAGTACACTTGAATCTTTAATTCACTTGGCTATGTTTTAAAGTCTGGAAAATTGAAATCTGAACATCTCCTAACTACATTTGCTTTCTTTCAGGCGGTTCCGCAGACAAGATGTTCGGCATGGAAATGCAGCTCAGCAGTGCTTTGGACAGCAGTTTGTTGGTAATCCATAGAAAATTGATTATTATTGGTAACTTAGAGTATATATTGAAGACAAACTGCAGACTTCTTAAAAAGGGTCCTTGTTTTCTTTGTGATTGATAGAAACTAGAATCTTGTACTGAAAGTGTTCTTACTTCCATGGAGTTAGTACTACATGTAGTTTAACAATTTTTGCTTTATTAGAAAAATAAGTTCTGTGTACCTCCATGGTGCTTTACTGTTAGACCTCAAGACAGGAGACTATGACTCACTCGACCCCACGCTGACTCAGTTGGTGCAGAGCTTAAGCTTTTGTGAATATAGTCTAAAGAAAGGCCAGATCTTAATCCTAGGGTGACTTAAGAGTTCGTTTTGAAGGATAGAAAAATCCCAGGTTCATTATTTAATTTGATCTCCGTTCAAATAACGAAGATAAATTCACTTGTTTATTAGCCCTTGGAGTGAATTATACTGGCCTATACATGAGATTGTGTTCAAGTCTAGTGACTTTCTCACTCACCACACAGGTTATGACCAAGAAGCAGTTTCACAAACTCTGTCGTTTAATTTCCTACTCTTGTCCTGACCAAGAACCCAATATCTGGCCAAGTTCAGCCCTTGTGGAGTTATCACTCACACTTGTGTTTATATGGTGCCTTTCTTTTAGATTTCCGCTTTTTGCTTTTGTTGGTAACTACGAACTTGTTCCATTGCCTGGCTGGAACACTGATGTTCACCTTTTCTTGTCTGCTTTATCTATGGATGTTACCATTGATTTTCCTGTATTTGGCATTGAGACACATTCTAAAGTTTTGACAGTCTCATTTTTGGGGAACCAAACTCCTGATTATTTATGTTGACTCCACCCCATAGCCTGTGTACTTTTTAATATCTAGATTTTGGTATGCCCCTCAAACAGCTCCTTTAAATGACCTTGCATAAAAATTAGCATAAAGTAATAAAGTCACTCACTTTGCTGCAGGGATATGAATAATACTTTTGAAACTATTATTTACCATTAAAATCAAAGTCTCAAGGCTGATGTTAATATTCATGTTGTAGGGCATGCTTTGGATAAGACTGAAGAGCGATTGGCCTATGGTATAGAGAACAACAGTACTTTGTTGGAATGTACCCCACGATCTTTACAAGCAAAAGTTATTTGGTTTGTGCAGAAAGGACGTGACACAAGAAAAGAGGAGGTAACTCATAGTTATGTATTTATGCCATGGTCTGCATATAGTGTATGGCAAGTAATTAGATAACAATTTATGTGTTTAAAAGTTAAAGTCTATAGTGAAATGGATGTTTTATTTAAAAAGTGGCTTTATTTTTTTTATATATGATTTACTAACATTTAAAAATTTTAAATTTTTATATACTTAGATTTTATATATTTCTAATTTGTGCGCAACATGCATATAAATTGCATTGATAACATATACGTAGATAAATAGATTAAATGATAACATTTGGTATTTGTTACAGATATAATTTGGATCTTCAAAAATTGGGTTTTTATCCAGAAGACATAGTGATTAGTGATTTTAGTGTACCATTTTCAAAATGATTATTTTAAATTGTGTCATACAAGACAGTGTTCTAGACATAATTATAGCAAAGTTAAATACCATTAGCACAAACATATTAGACATATGGGTAATGGAATTCAAATAACACCAGCAACAGCAGTATTAAACTAGTTGTTTGGTAAATCTATTAAATTATATAAGATGTTAACACAGAGATTCTACTGAGTCCACTGGGTACAAAGAAAAACATCCATTCTTTTGTCCGTCTTAGAAGATTTAGTGATGATTTTATTTCTGTAATCATCTACATAATAAGAGTGGAATGATTTAGGCTATTTTTAGATGGAAGCATGGCAGCATGCAGGACACCTGTCCAAAACAAGGTTGTTACTGGAAAAAGAAATGGGACTCTAAGGAGCTGGTTGAAGTAGGGAGGGATTGAAGTCATGAAGCAGGTAGGGAGAATGATAAAGCATTCTTGGTGTTGATGTGGATTTTGAACTCATTTTTCACAAAAGTAGAATAACCAAAAATAGAAAGTAGAAGAAAATGTTGTTATATTAATGAGACATTGATCTTGGCAAATGTTGACAAAATGGCCCTTGGTAAAGAGATGGTTGCAACTTGAATAAGGGAAAGAAGTTCTAGAGACTTATGTTAGCATATGAGAGGGACATTCAGGACAGAGAGTGAATCAGTGAGATCTCACTTTGGCTTTGTAAACAAACACTTGTCATTGAAAGCTAATAATACTGATTCCAAACGTGGAACCCTGTAAACTTTTTATACCTTTTTCCCTAAACTATCATGAAACTAAAAAATCAAATATGTTTTTCATGCAAATATCTATTAGTTTGGGAAATCGTTAAGTCTTGTAAATCCCAGGGTTCTAGGGATAGATACTAGAAAGGAAGTCATCTCACCTTAACTAAAGCTATTAAATATGGAAATGCAATCAGGAAAGGAAAATTCGCCCAAATTTTCATGGTGTTATAAGAATAAATAAGTGTCAAAAGTATTACAGAATGTCACTCTGAAATAAATTGTTAATTTAGTATTAAAGTATTTCCCATTCCACAAAGCTGAGGTGATAGTTTTCAAAATTCCATCATAACACAGGAGAGGCCTAGAAATAGCCTGTTATTCTTCCAGTTGAATGGCTTCAGAAAACACAGAAGTAATTCATCACTAAACAGGCTCTGTTTCCAGTTTGTAACTCATCATGATCTGTCTCACTTGAAAATATAGACTGGATCATTTTTTTTATACCTAATCATTTTGACATATTGAATCCATCCACGTTATATTAAAACTGATTTTTCATATTGTTGATATAATTTATTTCTTTCCCACAAATTTTATTCCCTTCTTCAACTGTGTTTGAATTTCCCTACCTGATATAATTACCAATATTTCAGATTTTGAATTCACTTTCTTCATTGGACATCACATCATTATTAGAGAATACCTGGCTTCTGTTTGAAATAGCTGTGTGTATGTTCACACACACATATATTCATATTCAACCCATATATTCATAATAACTGACTTTTACACTGCAGAATGACCATGTCCACTTCATGAGCATGTTGCTTCAGCCTTGGTAGCAAAAGCACCACATCTCAGGTTTAGATGGCTGAAAACCTGTCAGTAATCTAACATTTCTTCTCTAAGCACTGATACCAAGAATCTGTTACAGAATGTATACACCAATGTATTTCTATTCTTACATTACCTCTTCAAGTATCTATTGCATGTCAGCTGGTAGAAGAATTCTATATCGAAATAAATGTACTATATCATTTGAATCAATGTAGATATAAAACCTCCTTTTCATGGCTTAGAAATTCTTATTTGAAAGTCATTAATAAAGTGACATTTGAAAAAAAAAGTTGAAAAGGAGAGGCAATAGATCATGTGATGGTTCTGAAGAAGAACTTTCTGAACAATGAAAACAGCTGATACAGAGATCCCCACAGTAGGAATGAGACTGATAAGTTGAAAGAAAATCCAGGTAGAGGTCACTATGAATAGAGAGGTATGAACAGCAGGGAGACAGAAGCAAAGGACAAGTAGTTCATACAGGGATTTGAAGGTCTTAAAAAAGGCTTGGTGTTTGTTCTGAATTGAATATAAAGTTGTTGGGTGGTTTTCAGCAGATCGCTTTGTTTTGTATTAAGAATATAGTACACGGGTGGAGATAAAGGTAGAACAAATATGTCCAGTGATACAATCTTGACTCAATATGCCCTGAACCATGAGTGACAAATTATGTGCAACTGGCTGCCTCATACACATAATAGCAGTGTGCTTCACATGTACTCTACCATATTATTGAGGATAGTGAAGGCTGTTTAACATTTCAGGTGAATACCTTTTCAGTCTTCTATTTTGCTTTCTAAATGCCTTCATTTGCTGATTTGAACTCAGTAAATTCTTGCTGTGAGCCTGCATTAACAGACAATGAACCTTAGCTCTTTAGAAAACTATAAACTTGTAGTGAATACAAGAATGTAAACAGGTAATCATTACATGTTGTGTTCATTACAAGT